ACTGATGAGAAAAAAGACTTCAATAAGTATTAGAGTAAAAAACTTTGTTACAGACACTAAACGTATAATATGTTAGAAATTATTCAAAATACTCGAATTTTTCTCCGTGACGTCTGAATAAATTTTCTGAAGCGACAACCACACAAAATCTTTTTCCAACCGGTTCAAAATATAAATCGGGGGAAAAAGTGAAGATGAATTAACATAATGAAACGTTTCAGCAGATAGGGCAGAGGACATGTAACATTGAGTGTACTCCTATAGGGAGTAGGTATTTTCAAGCAATTTCCCATAACTCTTTCATAAAGAATTAAAACTCAATTTCGCGTGGCTCGCGTGCATCAACAACGCTTCGATAACAGCAATTTAACAAATTGCTGATGCTTCAAGTTTTATACGCGCAATCGCAACGAGTTTCCTGGACTCGGAGAATTGTAACAATGTGGACAATTAGGTATCATCATCCCTCCAAGCCACTACGCAAAACATGGCCCGAGTACAAAACACAGAAGAAGGCATAAAACACATTATGTGGTTGGTGCATCCACTATTGAGCGCAATCGGTGCCTGGCCAACGAACGTTACATCTTCTGTGACTTCGAAGATACGAATATGGTTGTTGATTCTCTTTATTTACTCCATGCAATTCGTGGTAATGATACCGAGTATTATTTACATAATTTTTAAAGTGAAAAACAACGGAACCCGGGTTAAGTTAATCATGCCCCACTTCAACGCCTTTTGCCAAGTGTGCAAATATACTATCGTCTTACGGCGGCATAACGAGATTCGTCAGTTACTGGACGACATAAGAAATGATTGGTTGAATGCTACGGAAGAGGATCAATGGATTTACAAAACCAGAGCCACTATTGGACACAGATTGCTGACATCTTTCATGATCCTTTTATACACCGGCGGTGCGAGTTTACGAACAATCACTCCATTTTTGAGAGAGAAGATCGTTCTACCGAATAACACGACCTTAAGACCTTTGCCGTGTCCTGCTTACTTTTTCTTCAACGAGCAACTCAGTCCCTACTACGAGATAATTTTTTTCGTACAAGTCTTCTGCGGATTCATCAATTACACGACATTGTCTGGAACTCTCGCACTATGCACGACACTTTGTCTACACATGTGCAGCATGCTGAGAATCTTGGGAAATAAAATGAACAT